ATAAATGTGTTCAGGGTGGGACAAATATGAATCATGTCAAGTTTGGTGGACAACGGACCATTTACTCCAAATTTATAGCAATTTCCTGTTTCATGGCGAGACATCAAAATTAAACCCTCTGCAGCACACGTAGACACTAATGATATGTCATGTTTGTGAACATCAAATATAGACCACAGCATTGAAATTTCAGGTTAATCCAAAGATAAGTGTCTGATAAGAAGTACTTCCTTTCGACACTGGCGCTATGATTATCAGGCAATATGGTAATAAAAATGTGTTCAGGGCGGGATTGATATGAATCATGTGAAGTTTGGTGGAGATTGGACCATTTATGCCAGAGCTACAGCAATTTCGTTTTTCATGGCGAGACCTCAAGATTCAACGCTCGGCAGCAGGCGTGCCATTCAATATTGGGCAAATCCTGTGATAACTTTTGGTCACAACGTAGTCACGCTTACATACACCAAGTTTGGAGCCAATCTGATTAAATCTGTAGGACAAGTTTGTTAATTTACAAGCCCTGGAAATGGGCAAAAAGGCACAAAAGTGGCACAAGTAAATTCAAAATGGTGGACTTCATGTTGCGTTTGGAGCATGGCTCCAAGAGGCTTTTTTGTACGTGATAGAGTGTTACAGGTGCCCAACAAGTTTTATACATGCAGGTCAAACCAGCTTTGGGGGCTGCTTAATTGAAATATTCTAGGGGGCGCTGTTGAGCCATCTTGGTGCATCAAAGCACAAAAATCACATCAGACAACAGGACTTGCGACCTGTGATGTGTATGCCACGTTTGGTGAGTTTTCAAGCATCCCTTGTCCCTTCAAAACAACATTGTGTTTGATGGTGAACAAGGCGGCGTTTGATGAAAACTAAAACAAAAAAGCTTCATTTTTAAGCATCATCAAGGTCTAAGGACTTAGACCAGCAAGTTTGAGGTGGGTCTGATTAACCTGCTAGAAGCGGGACATCAAAGAATGTATAAAGTAGCTTTCTGTTGCCAGTAGGTGGCGCTATGGCAGTGATTCAAAATTCCTCTGTAGATGTGTTCAGGGCTGGACTGTCATCATATGTGTGAAGTTTTTGCAAGATATAGAGGAATAATAATAATAATAATAATAATAATAAAAAATCCTTGCATTTCAATAGGGTCCTCGCACCGCTAGGTGCTCGGGCCATAATAATAAAAAATCCTTGCATTTCAATAGGGTCCTCGCATTGCTAGGTGCTCGGGCCCTAATAAATAATCGGGAGAAAAACAATAGGGACCTCGCAGGTCTCCTGCTCGGGCCCTAATAATCGGGAGAAAAACAATAGGGACCTCGCAGGTCTCCTGCTCGGGCCCTAATAAACAGCACGATTACAATAGGGTCCTCAAAGGACGACTTCGTCGTCACTCGGGCCCTAACTAGAAGGCAAAGGAGCACCAGAGAGGAGATCAGTGGCACAGTTGTAAGGTCTGTGAGGAGGCAGAGAAAGAGCACTCTCTTTACTAAAAATCTCAACGAGGTCATGATAATCAGCAGGAATTGAAGACAAATCTGGAGGCTCAGGACTGGGTAATCCAACAGCACTCTCTGTGGGAGACAAAGCAGACTGCAAACAAGAAGAATGACAAAATGAGGTCCAACTCACAATCCTCCCAGCTGACCAATCAGTGTGGGGGTAATGACACTTTAACCATGGGTTTCCCAGCAGCAATGGTATTTTTGGAGCAGAAATAATGTTGAACCTGACAGTTTCTCTGTGATTTCCAGAGAGTACAAAAGTGATGGGTTCAGTTTGTTGGGTGACATGAGCCAGCAATATTCCATCCAGGGCATTGGCAGTGAGAGGTCTTTCCAAAGGTTCTAGGGCTATTCCGGATTGAGTAGCTACTTCATGGTCCAAAAAATTCTCTTAAGCACCAGAGTCCATAAGGCGAAAAGAGGCAAGGTGAGTTGGTGACAATAGACTGTGGCTTGTATTTGTAAGCGTGGCTTGGATGGGGAGGAAGATCTAGTCTGGCCCACCAGTACCCCCACTTCTACCGATGAGCCCTGTCTTTTGGCTGAAGAGGGCAGGTTGCCAGAAAATGTCCAATTTGGCCACAATAAATGCACTTGCCAGCCCTGATCCTACAAAGACGCTCCTCAGGAGACCATAGCACATTGCAGAAGAAAACCTCAGCATTTGTCCATTTGTTCAACAAAAGGATCTGGGCCCCTTGGTGGAGGTGGCGTTCAAGCTGCCGCAGAGGGAGTGGGCTGAGGAGGTTGAGCTGGAGAGACTGAGGAAGAGAGAAAATACATAAGTAGAGACACATGATGTGTAAGTTCAGATATTTGATTTACCCTGCTTTGGCTGCTTTCAGAGAGTGCTCAGAGATGTTGTTTGTGTTGTCCTTATAATAGTCCATGACTGAAGACTGCTTTCCGTAGACTTGTGGTTTCAGGTTCCCCCTCTTATTTACTATTTTCATTGAACCTCTAGAGGACAATAACAATAACATTAATATCTCCTGCTCATCAGTATTAATATCTCCCCCATGCTGTCAGAGCTGCTCAATCTCAACTACACCACACTTCTCAAAACAATAACTGACAAACTTCTTCACTGGATCAACCTCCCACTCTCCATATTAGTATACATATTACAATATGAATGTCAGTACTTCCTAAAGTTAATTATCTCCTCACAATGATTCCATCTCAATCCTCACTGTCTTGGTTCAAATCACTTGACTCTTTCATAACAAAATTTTATTGGAAAAACAAATCACCAAGAATCAAACTCACAACTCTTCAGAAACCAAAGGCACAGGGAGGACTTGCAGCACCAAATTTCTATCATTATTACCTCGCAAATCAATTGCAATACATAAACAAATGGATCCATCCCCATAAATCAGACAATACATGGCTGGATATAGAACAGATACTGTATATTTCCAAATAGTCACACGGTGGCAAATAGCCGCCGGGCACCTAATAGCCACCGGGGATTTTACCCCATTTTGCATATTAAACGCCGGTCCGATTAAACACTCGGGCGATTATTTCCTCATTCATTGCCTCATGGCTGTCCCTCCTTGAGGGACCGTTTGCGCTTTTACGCACGGGTCGGTGGTGAAGTGGTGCACATGACTCGTGCGACGGACGGACGGACGGACGGACAGACAGCCACGTATCTAAAACAGGTAATACATCTGGCTACATCTTTCCCACATCAAATATCCGTGATCGCCTTGCCCCGCGTGCGTGAAAGCGCACACAATTCCGTGTCCTCTCACCGCAAATGCTGTGATTTGATGGTCCGGTACTCATTGTAGCCCACTCTTATAAGACCTAATAATAATAATAATAATAATAATAAGTTACTGTGGACCTATATGCCATGCCTTTTAATAAAATTACCAGAAGAGTTCACTGAAAAACAGGTAATGTCAGCCTGAATTACTCATGTGCGTCCCCGGTGAAAATTGCTGACATGCATGGGGAATACAGCTTCTACAGGCTCGCAATAGCTTACTGTCAGGACTCAGGGACCAGAATTCGGGATGGCGGACCGTCGGGATGGAGATATTTCCGGTGTGGCGGCCTGTAACTGTTGGTTAAATGGCCTGTTCGGTTGGTATTCGGATAACTGGGGCTTTACTGGTATAATGCAATAGCACCACCCAGCGGTGAAACCCGTGTACACGAAAAAAATGAACCACTCTAAATGTTTAGAGATTTTTGTGCACGAACTCACCCCTACATTATACAGTATTTTTGCACAAAAAAAAAACATACTGGACAGGAACAGGAACCTGGTGCAGGTCGGTGCAAAAAAAAATAAAAGCCTTGAGCAAATAGCCGCCTGGTTCTTTTAAACGCCTGGGGTCAAAATCGATTTTGTGAAATAAACGCCCGGGCTACTATTTGGAAAAATACGGTATTTAGCAAAAACATCACCATCTCAGACTTACCATTTCTTAGTCATTCAATTAAACACCACCAATGTTTCAAAGTAATAACAATATCAGCGACTCTGACAGCCTGGTGGAAATTTCATAAAGTCACAAATTCCATATTAGGCCCATCTAAATTCACTCCAATCTGGAACAACCTTGACTTTCTCAGCAACAAGAAACCACTTCACCTCCACTCATTGTCAAATAAAGGGATCACCCACATACAGCACATCATTCAGAATAACACACTAGTTCCATTTGCTCACCTGGTCCAGGAGTTTGGCATCAGGAGCAATCAATATCTTGAATACTCACAACTCAAATCTTCAATTCAAGCCGCATTCAACATAAAAACTACTAACTTGAATCTTCCACCATCATGTTCAGACTTAATTAATATTCAATCAACAAAAAAACTTCTCTCCAAAATATACAGAATTATCTCATATTGGGACAAAACACTCTCCATACCAACAATAAAATGGGAAAATGATCAGTCAGTTGCTCCTGATGCTCCTGGAATCAAATCTGCCAAAACATCTATCTTATGACAAAAAATGCAAATCAACAGTTAATACAACACAAGATACTTCACAGGACACACTACGCAGGACAGAAAATGTTTAAAATGGGATTCTCATCTGAAATCTGTACTAACTGCACCCAAAACAAACCGGACACTCATATCCACGCCATCTGGTACTGCACACCTGCTCAACAATTTTGGTATGAGGTCATACAGTCACTCAAATTTCTTGGGCAGTCATATCCCCTTATCTCCCTCTCTCTGCTTACTTGGCAACACCTCAACAATGAATCTGACAAGTCCCAACAATAAATTAATTCTCATAGCCCTAACTATCACCAAGAAAATTATCCTCATGAACTGGAAATCCAAAAACAACATCAGTATAGCACAGTGGACAAATGTACTCATCAACCACATCTCCATGGAATATTCCACCCAACACTCAGTAATAGAACCCCTCTTCATCTGGACTCCACTCATCAACTTTCTACAGACCTGACCTGTCACTTGTCAACTGTATATTTCATTCACTGTATTTTAATTCCTGTTCTGCCTGAGGACCAATCCCCGCCTCTCCCACAAAAACACTCAACACATTGATTTTTGAATTATTATTTATGTCTGGTTTGAATTTTGTTTTGAAAAAACAAAAAGGATTATCATCATTATTATCGTTGTTGCTATGGTGGTATTTTTTTTTATCATTATTACACTCTATGTTTGTTGCTTTTCAATTATAATACAGATAATATGGTTGTCATAATATAATGTTATATATAATAATATTATATATTATTGTTATTATTATTGTATTAATTGCAATAATAGCTGGACTGGGTTGGCTTGGAGCGGGTGTGAGCAGTGGCTCTGTGCTGGGCCCTCTGGTGACATGGCGGGGCCTCTGGTGGGGGCAGGCCGGTGTGGGGGTGGATGGGCCCTACCTCTCTCCCGCTCCCTCAAAATACAAAAACAAAAATCACAGAATGCCACTCCTCAGCATGGAAACTCCCTCCCAAGGGTCTGGGAGTTGTGCAATTCAGGAAGAGGCATAGAAGCTAACTCAAACTAAACAAAGAGAAAAAGAAGGGGGGGGGGGGGGCGACGACAGGGAGGAAGGGAGGCCGGGGGCGCCTTCGCTCCCCACTTCGCCTCTCTCCTGCTGGGGCTTCTGGCTGTCCTGCTTGGGGCCTGGTGGGGGGGCCTCTTGCTCGCCTCTCCAATACCCTGGTCTGGCCTCAACCCCTCTTTGCCATATTTTTATTATTATTTATTATTTATTATTATTATTATTATTATTATTATTGTTGTTGTTGTTGTTGTTGTTGTTATTGTTATGTTATATTCTATTTTGTTGTCTTCTATTTCACGTTATATTATATCATATTATCATATTAATATCGATGGCTGGAGACTTGGCTGAGGCAATCAGGAGTCTGGCTGAGGAGGGCGAGGTAGGGCTGAGCGGGGCAGGCAGAGGAATGGCTGATCAGTCTGACTGGGTAGCAGGAGACGAAGCAGATCATGGCACGTTTTCTGATGGAGCAGGTGTGGAGAATCTGAGACAGAGAAAATGAATTAGCCAATGCTCGAAAAATACCAAAAATGCAAACCAACAAAAAATTCCCAGAAAGAAGTCCTTGACGTCTGTACCACAGTCTGGAAGTCTGGAAGCCTGAGCTTGGGTTTCATACTGTGGTCGCTTGATTGGACAGATATCCCTCCCTGTCCCCCTCTACCATCTGACCCCTCCCCATGCTCACCTCAGGGTTTCTGCCCCCCCTCCTCTTCTCCCATATCAGCCCCCCAACCCCTTCACATCACTGCACATCAGGTAAGAGGAGTGCTGAAGAGACTGAATGTCAGGAAAGCAGCTGGCCCAGACAGGGTGTGCCCCAGGTTGCTAAAAGTCTGCGCTGACAAGCTAGGGGACCCTCTCCAGCAGGTTTTCAATTTGAGCCTGTGTCTGGGTAGAGTCCCCTCGATCTGGAAAACATCTCGCATCATCCCTGTTCCCAAAAAACGACTTTAGGCCAGTTGCCCTCACCTCACAGGTAATGAAGGCCTTGGAGAGGCTAGTACTGCACTGTTTTAAGTCACAAGTACAAAATGCACAGGACCCACTTCAATTTGCATACAGGGAAAAGATAGGGGTGGAGGATGCCGTCCTGTATCTTCTCCACCGGACTCTCTCTTATCTGGATGGAGGTGGCTGCGCTGTGAGGATTCTTTTCTTTGATTTTTCGAGTGCATTTAATACCATTCAGCCACCCCTGTTGCAGGAAAAACTGACCAACATGGAAGTGGAGCCACATCTCGTGACCTGGATTACTGACTATCTTACAGACAGACCACAGTTTGTCAGGATGGGTGATGTATCCAGCACCCTGACTTGCAGTACAGGAGTCCCACAAGGTACTGTGCTGTCCCCCCTCCTCTTCACTCTATACACTGCTGATTTCCACCATGATTCTGAGTTCTGACACGTGCAGAAATTCTCAGATGACACAGCCAACAAAGCATGTATTAGGGAGAATAAGGAGGGAGAATAAAGGAAACTGGTGAGTGACTTTGCAGGCTGGTGTGAGAGGAACCAGCTCCAGCTGAACATAGCAAAAACCAAGGAGATGGTACTGGACTTCAGGAGACAGCCCACTCCCCCACAACCAATCTGCATAGGAGGGATGGCAGTGGAGACAGTCACCTCCTATAAGTACCTCGTGCTCCTACTGGACAATAAACTGGACTGGGCTCAGAACACCGACCTCCTCTACAAGAAGGGGCAAACCAGGCTGTATTTCCTGAGGAGACTGGCGTCGTTCAACATCTGCACAAAGCTGCTTCAGATGTTTTATCAGTCGGTGGTTGCTAGCGTGCTCCTCTATGCTGTGGTCTGCTGGGGGAGCAATACCAGCAAGAGGAACATTCATCGGCTGAATAAAATCATTAAAAAGGCAGGCTCTGTGGTGGGGCTGAAGCTGGACTCTGTGGAGACAGTGACAGAGCAGAGAACACTGTCCAGATTCAGGGCAATCTTGGACAACACCAATCACCCTCTGCTCTCTGCCTTCACACTAAAAAGGAGCTCATTCAGCAATAGATTGCTGTCCCAGAGCTGCTCCACTGACAGACTTCGGAAGTCTTTTGTCCCCCATGCAATTAGACTGCACAACTCTCTGGCAGGGAGGGGGGAGGGAGGGAGATGATGAGGGGCACTGATTGGCTGTGAATAACAGCACTACAGCACTTTATGGATTTTTATGGATTTTTAATGTCACATTTTTAATCATTTTATTTTACTAACCTATTTATTGGATTTCTTCTGTTGATGTATGTTTATGTGTGTGTGAGCAGCTGATCACTGTTAAATTTCCTTCGGGATCAATAACGTTGCATCTATCTATCTATCTATCTATCTATCTATCTATCTATCTAATAGATGTCGTACAGAACAGATCAACATGATAAATTAACAGTAATCCGTATGACAAAATGATACATAAAGAGAGAGAGAGAGAAATAGAAAGAGAGAGAGAGAGAGAGAGAGAGAGAGAGAGAGATGCAGGACAGACAGTAAGGTGTCTGTCCTGTGACAGACACAGTTTTTGTGGTACAAAATGTTGTAGGTGTGATGACAGTGGCAGCAGATTACAGCTGGATCAACTGTCAGTAGGCTTTATTAACAGCTATAGAAACTTTTAATGGAGTTTGTTGCTACACACATATATAATGATAAAGATACAGATAAAGTTCTCAGTAACAGAGCAGCAGTGAGTTCTCTCTCTGGCTAACAATCATTTGCACATGAAGAACAACCTCCCTTTTGTATTTATTATATTGTATCCTACTCAGAGTCACAGATTGTGTTCATATGATTCAGCCTTTTCATTATTTGCATCTGTATTTATTGACATTCTGATTGAGAATTCATTATTTAATAACCCAGAATATGATTTATGGTGCCTTAGAACACTGGAAATAATTTATTAGGCCAAATGTTTCAGGGAAAATTAAAATCCTGCAACTCATTCTGCACTCACAACTGCACTTGTGTATCCTCACTTCCCTTCCCTCTGAAAGCCTCCTCTCTCCATGACATCTCGACTCCTCCAATCACATTTAATGAATTGAGATATCCTACAAGATCGTGGGTCTCAATTGATTTCTGGGTCAGGATAGAGGATAGAGGAGTCGAGAATAAAGGAGTCGAGGAGGGATATTGTGATTAACCCAAACATAAAACACCAGGGAGGGGAAACAACAGGAAACACAAGTACAGGCAGAGGCAAAGCCAAAAGTCAGTTTCATACTGGACCCTGATTAGCTTCCAAACAAGTTGTGATGTCACAAAATCCTGTGGGTACATCCAGATGTTAACCTGAGATGTAACATGAGCTTAAGCAGGTGAATGTGGAAACACGCTCTGCACAGAAATCAGTAAAGCTCAAACAATACAGTGAACTTAAGATAAGCAACTACATTTCTGAGTGGAGGCTGGAGCCTATCTCATCTTATATAGGGTGAGGGAAATAATCACAGGGCTCATGAACATGAATATGAATATGTTACTTATTGAAGTGATGAAATTAAAGAGCAACACATCAGTTCACCAATAAACCAAATGTGATGGAGGAGAAGAAGAGCAGAAGTGGGAAAGATGATGAATAAAGAAGAAGAAGAAGGAGAAATATAATTTACAATTGTTAGGTTGAACTGTAGGCTCTTGGTAGGCACACATTACTTCCTTCTCATCTGGCTGGCTGGTAGTGGGCGGGGCTTATCAATTAACTCAGTGGTCCAGGTGTGATAATGAGCGTCTTCAGAGAGAGTGAGGGGGGACTGCACTACCAAGTGACCTGGGGACAGCACCTGGGTTTTCGCTCTGTGAACCTGACCTGCGACTACCTCCAGTTTTGTGTTTTATTTGTTTTGACCAACACTTTTATAAAAATTTGAACACTATCTGTCTGCCACGACATCGCGTGGGCTGGCCGCTCGTGGGGAGCCTCATCTGAGCTCGCTGCTGTTGCCGTTTAGAGGTAAGCCCCATGCACAACCCCACTGCCAGCCAGCCATGTTTCCTCTCTGCACACTCTATGTTAGAGAATGAAGTTGCCTAGACACGACCTGAGTCAAACTATCAGTCATTCTCCTAACACAATGAAAATGAAGAATTCAGGCCCCTGTTGTCAGCAGGGTCCAGGAGCTTAGACGGTAAGGTATGTAAGAACGAGTGTAATACTTCTGTGACTTTATAGTGAACTTTTTTTATGTCCCCTTGCTTTCCCTTCCATCTCTCCGTCTTCTTTCCATTCCTCCATTCTTTTCCTCACTTCAGATATTTGGCCTGACAGTCAGGCTACTGGGTAGGAGTGCCCATGGTGCCAAAAGCCATCATGTCACACTTACACACACACACATACTCTGTCCACCTGAGCACCAGGGCCACAACCACAGTAATCATGGATGTGGTCAGAGGAAGCGCGCACACACACACACACACACGCACACACAGGGAGCCAGGCGGAAGGTCTGGAGGATTCTGGGTCAGGGCTGGGAGATCTGATGAAGATGAGGTGGGACAAAGATACTGGGCCTCTTCACCGCTCACTGGTCAACACACCGTGCTGCCTGTGTGGTGTGTGTGTGTGTGTGTGTGTGTGTGTGAGGGGATCAGATCTGATCTGAGCTGATTTTGTCATCTCTTTACCCTCTCAGCAACATCTCCTGACAGGCCATCACACCATAACCAGAAAAAAGGTTGGAGGATGTGGAGGTTCAGGGGTATGGGGGGTGGAAGGGTAGACAGTAGGTTGAAGGAAAGGGAAGTCGCTCTCTGTATCACTATGACCAGGTAATAAACGCTGTCAATTCAGAACAGGTGTATTTCTTTTAGAATGAAACTCCAATTTTAATTGAAATTTGAGTCAGGGTTGGTGGTTTCCCGAGCCCAGCCCCCAGCAACTTCTTTTCTGTTTTTCTTTGCTAAATGAGCTTTATGAGGGATCAGATAATTTTCTGAATTAATATTAAAATTAGGCTACTTCAATGATGATCAGGCAGATTACCAGTGTTGCCTCACAGCAAAAGGCTTAAGGGTTTGACTTGTGCATAATATGTTGATTTAGCTTAAAAGAGCATCATTATAATGAAGTAGGTGGCTATTGTACATGTCTTTAGGCACTACAAGGCCAATTTTGACATAAAGGCATTCCAGGTGTCGGCCTCTAGCTTTAAACTGGCATAATTCCAGCTTAAACCAAGGGGCAGAGTGGGTGAAAGAGACAGATCGGGAGCAAGAACATCTAAAAGACTGTGAAGTCCATCATTGTAAAAGGAAACCAGTTCATCAAGGTGGATAGGTTATCTCTGCTGGGGAAGTTATCAGCTCCACTGGAAAGAGCTGATAAATTAATATTCTTAGTGTTACGGAAAGACATAGACCATAGCAGTTTTGTTTTTGATAGTGTGAGGTTGACAATGAAAGATATTAACTTGTGTACAGAAATGGACAAATCAGATGCTTGACAGCTGAGGGGAGTTACAGCAGAGTGGCAGATAAGATCCAGAATGTGTCCTACGGAGTGAGTTGGAAAGTCAACATATTGCTGTAGTCCGAAATTGTCCAGACAAGATGTAAAGTCCCTTGTGAGAGCATTGTTTACATTGTCCACATGTATATTAAAATCACCCAGCAATATTAAATTAGGGGACAGCGAGCATAAAAAGGTTAAAAAAGCAGCACGTTCATTCAAAA